TGATCAAGATAATCTGCGTCAAATTATATTTATGCGCATCATTGATTGGATATCTATTTAGCGTATTCTAAACTCCAACCAATTATACATCCGTAAGTAGAATTCGCTTTAATATGCAAATACTCGTGAACGATACATAATTTTCTATGTTCTATGTATAATAATCACAGACTCACGTCTTTTTCTGTCACTTCTAACTTTATGCGTTAGAGAGAATTCGATCAACTATGACGCACTGAAAAAAGGGTTTGGGACGGACTTTTTTTTTCGTATTTAAACTGCCAAAATCTACCTATACATCTTTAAACAAAGGAGTATAGTACTTACATTCTATTAATTAACATCTACAGTCTTAAAACCGTGACACAATAAAAAACCAGCGCATACAAATTTAAAACAACACAAAGAACTATCGAACGAGCAATACTCAATGTCTCCCTGAGAAACAAAATCAGGAATTAGGCAATTAGAAGAACAAAAGTTACAGGTATTTTTAAAGAAATACGAGACACACAGAATAAAGGTGGACTACGAAAATTACAAAACAGAGACAAAGAACGACGAAGAGAAGTGTAGGGTACCCCAAAAGAGGTGAATAGACAATATGAGAGAAATAGCAGGTAAGCAGTGGATACAAATCGCGAAGGATAGGAATCCAAGGAAGGAAATAAAAGAGGCCAATGACCAGAAATGCTTAAATACAGACTAAAGAAGAAGAAGTATGTAGTATTTGGGTGATAAGTTTTCTGTTGCTCTTTTTCATCCACAAAAAGCTGTATGTAATATTTCCAAATTGATTAAATATTTGTAATATCTTAAAAATGCCAATTTTTTATTATAAATGGATCAGGGGTGAGTCAAATGGATCAGCTCTCATATATTACAAGTTGCATATTGATGATATTTTTTTACTAACTGGAAAAGTAGTAAAATATAAAACAAGTGTCTATTAAGGATTTATGATTTCACTAAAATCCTTGAGAGCAGAATTAATTTTATTTCAAAAGAAAACTAAGACATTATTAAATGATAATAAAGACATTTGACTTTAAATATAATTGTTTTATGTCTGATGTTGAAGTAAACATTCGCCATTACCATTCTGTGGCAAATTATTTGTTTATTACAAAATTTTCTACTTCAGAGCACTCGTTGATGGCAGTCATTACTAGAAAATGTGCTATATTGTCGAAGTCGCGTGATCTACTGTTGTTAAATAATTTAACGTTATTTTTAAATGTGGTGATATTTAAAAACCACATACTAATTCTTTTATAGTGTGTAGTTTATGAAGGTTTCAAATTGTTTTGTCGCTTACATTTAATTTATATTTTTGACGCTGATTTAAAGCTTACACATAAAAGAACAGGTTAACGCAAGTTAATAGCAAAATAAAGTTAGTAGGTATCAGTGTAGCTCGCAACAAAGAAAAAAACTATAATAAAATATATGTACAAGATGGAAGGCCTCCATATATACGTATTTCTGACTATTGGTCGTCTCCAGTACGGTGCAGCTAAGTAAGAAAATGAGTCAACAAGGAGTTTCCAAGTTAATATGCTTCATTTCCAACTTGGCTGCACCGTACTGAAGACGACCAATAGTCAGAAATACGTATATATGGTTGCCTTCCTCCTTGTACACATTTTTTGTTATGGTTTTTGTTCTTTGTTGTGAGTTATGCCTTCACCTACTAACTTTATTAATCTTTTATGTGGCATCCCCCTCGTGTGGCTGTACCAGAACAGTTGTTTCGCTTCAATCGTGTCTACTAACCTCGTTTCTACACCCATTATTTCCTGAATTTCTGCATTTCTGACACGATTTTATAATGTAACTTGATAACATCTTCTGTAAAACTCTGTTTCAACCTTTTTTTTTATTCTCTTCTGATAATGTCCACACTTGTGCTCCGTATGCTACAGTACCTTCTACCAACAATCTGAACAATTATTTCTTTGCATAATGATCGCTGCATCGGTTTTTTATCCTTTGTATTACGTTTTTAATTGTGAGATACTCAGTTTTGTTAGCAATAATTTCCAGACTCCATTTTGGGTATTATTCAAGTAATTTTATTATCTTATCTTGTCATTTGGGTCTTGCTCATCTTAAGCGATGACGATCTGGTCGTTCTCAAATAAAAGAGCTTAGAATAGCCTAATCTCAATTCGAACTCACATTCACTCACTCATGCATAGAATTCCAAGGAGTTGGTGATACAAGGCGACCCTGTCTTAGCTCTTTATTAACTGGAAACATTTCTAAGCAGCCATTTGGTGTTCTAACAAAGCGAAAGTTGCGTCCATAGATTTCTTTTACAGCGTTAGCATAAGCTAGTAAGATATTTTGCTGTTTCTTGGCAAGCCACAACTTATTTAAGGGTACGCTATCATAAGGCTTTGTTTGGGTCAATAAATATTAACTGTAGTTCATTATTTTATTAAGTTCTTTAGTTTTCTCGATAAGTTGTCTGAGACAGAATAAGTTATTCTGTCTTCTGAGAAAATTCTCCCCATTCTCAGTTAAATATTCGTAATATTTCTTTTTCTAACAGTTCCATCGGATCAAAATTATCAACACCTCTTTTTGTCTAATTTTTTAATGTAATAATTGTTTTCTAGGCAGCTCCTGATTTTGAAATTCCGAGGAGTCTTCCAATCTATCTACATTTTGGAGAATTTATTTTTACCCTTCTTGACTGCCTTTTTTGTTTCATAACTGTATCTGTCATAGTTTTCTATCCTCTGGTATTCCTGTTATTTTTCATAACTTTGTATTTTTTCTCTAATTATGTTGTCTATATCATATGTCCACCAATGGGGTTTTGAATTCCGTTATTGGTTTTTTCTTCTTCCCCTAATGCTTTTATAGTAGCAGCGTGCAAATACTCATTAAGTTTCGTGTATTTTTCCTTGGAATCTCTTACCCTAGCATGGATGAATGTAGTACTTGCTTAGAATTACAAAACCTTATCTTAGTGGAAAAAACTGAGTAAGAAAAAAAGTATCTATAATGAAAATGGAGTTACACAGAAACAAGCCCAACACCTGCGAGAAAAACCACAAGGATGTTTTATTTTGAGTTTTGGTTGTCAAAAGAACATGCCTTGTTTTGACAAAAGTAACTGATCATATTACGTACTATTCATGACAGTTTTACTGTCATAATCTTTCAGTAGTTAAAGAATTGTCAAATTAATTCCTGAGTCCCAGTACTGTCTCAATTTAAATCTGGATGGAAGACGAAGCAAAAAATCATCCAACGAGGTTGCTTCCATTGCATTCAATGAGTTGAGATCAGCTGATCTCTCAGGATATGACTCCATTCATATGGTGTCTAATGATTGCGCTGAACGAAATAAGAATATAAATATTTTAACTATGTTCTGCAAGTTTCTAGATAACTGTTCTCCAACAAGCATACAAAAAATTGAAACAGTCTTTCCTGTAACAGAGCACTCATTCCTTCCTGTCGACAGAGTATTTGGGATGATAGAGAAAACATTTAAAAAAATCAAAATTGTGACAAAAGAAGAATATCATGAAATTTTTAAGTAATATGGTACGATTAAGTTGATTGGAAGGAATTGAGTACCGTTGGACTGAAAACAAGAAGCGAAAAGTTTCATGAAAACCGCTGCTCAACGTCATTTCAAAATTTCCACCTGCCGACGAATATTTCTTCGGAAAACTGAATTGGAAAACATCGTTGTGAAAGGAGAGATGGTTTACAACGTTGACACTGGTGCAGAGTGGAAAATTTGTAAGACCAACTGCACTATTGGACAGATCAACCCAAAAGAAATTCGTATCGATGTGACCCTAAAAGCAAAAAAGGTTAAGGACGTAGCAAAATTGCTTGAAAAACATTTTGGAGTAAATTTCAGGGAGAATCTTACTTTGCAGTGGTACAAAAACATAATGCAAGCAGAACCTGAAATATCGGCTAAAGGTTACGATTCATGTGAGTGTGAATATAATATTGCTGATTTTGATGGTGATCTTGTGTTAATTTAAAATTGATTAAACGATATCGTAAAACATATTAAGATAAAACATTTGAGGTATATAGGACATGTAATGGTCGTACAGGGTCGTTAAGCCAGAATGATGATGATTGTGTTAATTTTAATTTGAATTTTACTAAAGTTTACATATTTTATAAGTTCGAATATTTTACTTTATATATTTTTACTTAGTTAAATTGTAATGCAACTTAAATAAAAGATTTTAAAATTGGAATTTTCATTTAAAATACCTGATTTCCTATATAAATGTTATAAGAATTAAATTTTAAGTTAAGTCTAAACCGAGGGTTTGCTCTTTCAAATACAATTTTTTTGGCATCAAAAACAGACACCTACCATCACATTTGGGTAAAACATGGACATTTACCCATTTTTTATTCAAAAGCGGACATCTGTACTTTCAAATAATAATTTTATAATAATTTCATATATTTCTATCAAAATGTCCACAAGATTACTTTTGAAGCCTTCACTAAAATTATAGGAAGTGAGATTTTCATAAAAAAAAAATAATAGCAGCTGTGTACAAAAAAAACCAATTTATTTTAATTTTTCTTACGTGACACATGTCCGTCTTTGATATAAAGCCACTCATATATAGTTTTTGCGAGAAATATTACCATCAGTCTAAAGCTAAAGCTATATCAACTACGCCAGTATGCCAGTAACATTTAGGTAATGATATGATACTAATGATCATTTCCAAAAACTAAATAAAGAATTACAGGAGAAAACTATGGAATAGAATAAATCACTGACTCTAATATTTGTAGATTACGTAGTTTCAATTTCACAATAATGTAGTTAATTTTCATTGTATATTAATTACAAAGGATTGGGTTTTGTGTAGGAAAATTTTATTATGCTTTTAAAATGTTAACTAAATTAAGTAGTATTTATTAAAAAATATAAGATAAGTATAATAAACGCAAATAAATATTTAGTGCAATTAAAAAATCCTTCCTCATACCTGTACCCGTAGATATATTTTGCTGCAACCTCTTATTAATAATGTAATTTAAATTTTGCAATTGGTCCGGACAAAACTTCAACTTGGAATTTGGCAACACCAATTCGTCCAATCTAGAGAACCTGGCACTCTTCCTTGACTCCGATCTTTTTTTATTGAACATTTTGCACCACTAAGAGCACTTTTCGCAATACCAGAAACGATCAGATGAAACAACTAATCCCACACGCAAGAAAAATTTTAAGACGGTTAATAAATAAATAAGTTTTTATTGTTTATCATTGAAGAGCAATTCCGAGATAATTAAAAAATAAAGCAACGATCGTTAGTAGTCAAACACTTGTTCACAATAGAATCAATTGAAATGTATATCGTATAGTCGACGTATGGGTTTCCGTGTTTTCCTGTAATATACCAACAGTGTTTGAATAAAGTCGCCTCCCTGCCAATAGACCGAGCAGCATTGGTTTTATTATCGCGAGAAACAATTTCTGTTTGACGAAATCGGGTTGTCCGAAAGCTTAAATTTATTTTTTAAACAAAACACTGAATCCTAAATTTATTTTTTACCTAAACTGAGTTAAAATATTTTTGTGTCGACGCGCATTTTCCGAAGTCTAGCGAAATATGTACTACTAGTAATTATAGGGTTCTTAATGAACAGATTTGGGGTAATAAATTATGCATACCTTTTAATTTATTAATAACTATAGATTTTTAGAACGTTAGGTCAAGGCTGTTATTTTTTATTTATAAGATATAAAAATTATTCTTAAAAGAACGCCGGTGTTCTAGTTGATGAATTAAGTATTTTTATTTATTAATAACTATGGATTCTCAGACAATGATGCTTATTTTATGTAATATTTTTAAAATTTCTAAGCTAGTATAAGGAAAATGTCAAGTTCAACTATCAGTATTTTGTTTTGTACCAACAGTACAAACTTTGCAAAGTTTACTTTATAAGATTGGGTGTAAGATGAAGATATTTTTTTATTAACCACCTAAACTGTATTTAGACCACTAAAATGAGGTCATAGTTGACCAATTATCAATTCTTTTTTGATTTAACCCATTAACGCCGAGTCAAAAAAATTTCTGAAAATTTTACAAATTAACAATAATAATGACTAAAATAAGACCCTACGACAAACTTTTGACCATATTTTTTTATTAGGAAAAACAAGATGCTTAAAAATAGGCTTAGGGCAAGATGCTTAGACAAGATGCTTAGGGCTTGTTAGGCGCAACCTATGTTATAAACAAAAAAAATTATTTTTATAAAAATCAACTATTGATTATGAAACATTCAAAAACAATATATACAAAGTCCAATATTGCATTCGCAGCACATTGTTCTTCATCTACTATTGTAGTTGGCACCCCCATATCTTCGCCTTTTACCTTCGGGGACTGTAATAATGTAATGATGCATTCCATCATATTTAATATCATTGCTAACTCGAAAATCACTCGCTGCTGCTTTCGGTGTTTGTTCAGTAGCTTTCGGTTGTACCCTGTATCTTGTTAAATGTGTCTGAAATAAAGAAAAGAATGACAAGAGTACTACTGAATAGCTTCCTTCTACCTGTTTATGTACCTAGTGAATACTTCGTCTAAAATCTAGTTGACTAATTTTTCGGCCACTTTTTCTATACAAAATCCATGCATTCTGTAATGCAGCGTCAATTAGATAAGTAAATATGGGCCAGTACCATTTCTTTGACCTAATACCAATGCGATAACTACAATCAGATAAAAAATTATATTCTAAAGGTAGACAAAGAGACAAACTTACCAAGATATGTTGTTGTCCATTTGGTCAGTTCCACCCATATTTTTATTGTATTGCGCTATAAGATTAGGCCTTGGTATGGGAAGTATTTTCTTTTCTTTTCTGTTAAACCTGTCTACTGCCTTCACTGGCTTAATGCCATAACTTGTAATAGCAAGAGTGACAACATTATTGTCCATTCATCTAACATACACTATCCAAGTTTCCATGTCTAAAATGTATGAAAAGTCTCCTCTTCTTTGTTTTTCAACCTCCTTTTTTGAAGGAAGAGGGCAGTCCTTTGGCAAGCGGTTTTCCCTTATTGTGCCGATTCCACTATAACCATTAGCTTTTATACTACATAATAAATTTTGATTTGTAAACAAGTTATCGAAAAAAAAATGTACGGAAAGTTTCCTTTTTCCTTTAGTTCCTTAATCATTTGCAGTAGAGGAGCCGTTGGTTTTTCCAAAATTGATTAATAATTAAAATTTGATTTTTGATTTTTTCCTTGGTATACATCAAAATTCACCAAGTAACCATTCGGAGTATTTAACGATCAAACCTTGTATCCAAATCATACTGGTTTGCCACGGATTAATTGTTTACATCCATAGCGTCCAAAATAACAAATCATCGATTCATCGTAGGAAAGATTTGGTTCAGGTAGAAAGTGTTTAAGAAATCTTTATTTTAAGTGGTATGTAATTAGCCGAAGCTTGTACATTTTATCAGAGGTGTCTACGTTACTATTATCAGTAAAATGAATAAATCTGCATATTTGCAAGAATCTATCACGGCGCATGGCTTCTGATATCATAATATTTTTCATATCATTTGAGTTTTCCCAATAACTTATTTTCGATGGCAAAACATTGATTCCACTGAGGATCAGAATATTAATAAAATATTTTAATTCTTCTATGGTCAAATTAGGATCAGGACAATTTTGAAATAAAGCATAGAGAAAATACATTCAAATATCTATGAACAGCTCAACGATTGGTATTTAGAGTAGTCCCTTGGTGGAAAAATACGACTACCGGTTTGCAAATCTCCTTCAACAAAATTGGTGACTGCTGGTTTGATGGCTATATTTAGTGAATAACTGTCCTTATTTGGGACATGTACATGAGTTGATGCAAATAAAATATCAATAATATCAAGGTTGAGTCCCAGTCTGTCTTTGTTCGCAAGTACAATCTCAGCTGGCGCACTCAGTTGTCCTGCCGACAAGTTGTCTGCTAAACCACTCTCATCTTCATCTGCAGAGTCTTCAACAGTTAAGATGTTACGAGTTACGATAAGGAGGCTCAATATATATATATATATATATATATATATATATATATATATATTATATATATATATATATATATGTGTGTGTGTGTTTTCTTAATACTTTATTCTGGAATATCTGGATAATCTGGACACTACTCGAATTGGCACGGCACAGACCCAGCGTTGTTTGTTATGTGGACAATGCTGAATTCCCTTCCATCAGCCAGTTTACCGAAAGTACAAGCTGATTATAGCCGCAAATGTCAAACATAGAACAGCAAATTTCGGTATAGCAGTATTGGCATGTTTTTAGAATGTAGATGTTGTATACTTAAAATATAAAAAGCTAAAGCTTTAGAAAAGTACATTTTGTTTATATTGTGTTATGATTGTTCTGAAGCTATTTTCTTGTGGCATTGTAAATTAATTACTATTAAACTGGGAATAAGCCACAATTAAAGATAAAAATACGTTTATTGACGTTTCAATTTCCACTTCGGAAATCGTTCTCAAAATACAAACAGTAAATTTACTGTTTGTATTTTGAGAACGATTTCCGAAGTGGAAATTGAAACGTCAATAAACGTATTTTTATCTTTAATTGTGGCTTATTCCAGTTTAATAGTAATTAATTGTGTTATGAATTCTGCAATTTTTGATTTATATAAAACAACAATGAGTAAGTATTTGTTTCTTTGGAGATTAATTGTAGTTAATTATTAGAATTTTTTTTAGCCGTTACCCTTTGATAGATTGGGGGATAGCTTTGGCAATCGTCAAATCAGCAGTTGCCAGATTACAAAAGATGTTTGCAATTAATCTCGAAAGAGACAAATATCTACTCGTTATTACTTCATATATAATAAAAATTGCAGAAATCATAAAATATTATAATCAAAATGTACTTTTTAAAAGTTTTATCTCTTTATATTTGAAGCATTCAACATATGCATTATTAAAACATGCCAACACTGCCAAACCGAAATATTTTGTACATTTGCGTCTATATCCAGCTTGTAGTTTCGATAAACTCAACCCTTTTTAATATGAACTTTAAGATTATCTCTTCTGTCTGATTAGGTTCTAAAAATATTTGATTATTAATTTGGCCTTTATGCGAAAGGTATATTAAACAATATTTGGAAGATCATGTAGTTCATTTGCCCCACTTTCGTCTGATGCAAGAAAATACTCGTTCGCGCATTCCAAGAATAACACGAGATTACTTGTGAATTTGACTCCTCTATGAACAAGTTTTCATTGCAATCGATTGCTTCTTTTTGGTTTCTTGTGACCACTTGCTAGCGAGACGAAGAGCTTGAAATAGTGAGTGAATTTCATTATATCTCTGAGACCTGGAACATGTTGAAAGTCGCCAGGTAGAATTTCCACTTATTGCAAATTAACAAAAATCGACAACTCCATCACTTCTATTATCTGTCTCTCCAACTACAATTTTTATCTTAGTAGATTTGCTATTCTACTCATGCATTTGTCTTTTTTTTTTTTGGTGAAATTATCATATTAAAGTTTCTGGCGATTGTATTAAATTGGTAAAGCATACGTTGTAAATCATCCTTACTTTGTGAGATCAGTCTTGCATCATGGCCATAGTTGATTATTTTATATTGTTTTTCTCTTATTTGGTATTCTAAGAGGGTAACATCCTTTAATTTAATCCTAACAAATGCCTCCTTCAGCTCTACGAAACATACGAAACATAAATACGCCGGATCGTTGTATTCTACTAATTTCTGTTGCACTTGCCTCATTATAAATATGTATTACTCTTTGTATTGGAAATAAGCCACAATTTTACTTTAAAATAAGTCTATTTTGACGATTAATGCCCAGTTGGAAATCGAAACGTCAAAATATACTTAAAGTAAAATTTTGGCTTATGCCCAATAAAAATAGTAACAGTAAAAATAGTTGACATGTATTAAGATGCCACAAGAAAATAGCTTCAGAACAATATTAGGACTTACTAGGAAAACATTTCCGGTCAAAGACAAGGAAAATTGTTATTGCAACCTTACAACCTTTAAATATACTCTTGGAGCTTCAGAAAACCACAGAGTAATCACATTCTTCTAATCAAAATGAGTCAAGTGAACAGAGACATTACGAGGCAATTATTAACGATGGCCATAAATAGCTGTAATAGATCTTTTTAAAACCTAACCAGGAAACAAATATCTCTCCAAAACGGATCACAAGCATTTTTCGATATCTAGATCTGTTTGGTGAAACAATGGTTAAGATAGGGTATACACAAAACATTAGATTTTTTAGA